AGTGACAGAAAATGTTATAGTCCTTTAAAAGGGGTACTAAAGGAGAGTTCAACCCATGTAATTAAAAGGTCGAGCTATTTTTATTATAGTTCCCTCCCTGCCCACCTCCCTGTAAAAGATTGTAAATAGATGTAACTTGAATTACGTGGAATTTTCTTGTTTTTATGGACTTCTCTTACATATAAACAGCGAAATTTCATCTCTAGCATAGGAAGTGTGTGTCAGGTGGTTCTTGTGATTGGTGACTAGTATACTATCAGATAACTTTAAAATGGATTATTCCAGTAATTAAGCATCTATGTTGGACAAATGACAGGATTTTCTTTCTTTAGAAAAAAAAGGTTTTATTACCTTTTGTAACTTTATTTTTATTGTTGATGCTATTATAGATGTCCCTCCTACCTCCACCCAGCCCCAGCCCCCCTTCCCTCTGTCACTTTATTGTATGTGTCTATGGGTTAGCTTCTCTAAAAAAAATTAAAAGTTTGTTTTGTGTAAAGGAAAACTATGTAAGGAATTATCAAAAGTAAATGCTCATGTAATCAATGCTCAGGACAAGAAATAGAACTTGGCCAACATTCCAGAACTCTCCTTCTACCCTTTCCTAGTTACTACCTCCTTTCTCTGTTAAGTTAACCCCTATCCTAGCTATTCGTAACCATTAATTTTTCTTTTTTAATAGGTTTTTATTGATTTTTCAGGAGAGAGGGAGATGGTGATAGAAACATCAATAATGAGAGAGAAACATCATTGATTGGCTGCCTCCTGCATGCCCCCTACTGGGGGATTGAGCCTACAACCTGGGCATGTGCTCCGACCTGGAATTGAACCAGTGACCTCTTGGACCATGGATCTATGCTCAACCTCTAAGCCACATCAGCCGAGCTAATTTGTTTTCTTACTGGTTTAACCACTTAAGCATTGAAGAGGATAAGTTATTCAATTAGTAAAGCAAGAGATTATTAACACATTGTGGACCAGTAGTTTTATTGCTTGCTTTACCTAGTGGCCAGATAAGTTTCTATTGAATGAGTACAAATTTTTTTTTTACATAAATGTTAAAGGCATGCTTTAAAATTAAAATACCCATTGCATTTTGAAGTTATTTATTACATGTTCTTACAAGCTAATATCTTTTTAAAGTATGATACTTTGTAAAACACTGTGTAATATGCAGTGAGAATTCTGGTGATCCGTCCGCAATGTGTTAATATAATGCAGTGTTTTTAAACACTACGAGACACAATGTCCCATTTTAATATTTTATATTTTGTAATGTCCTTTTTACCATCCCAAAATGAAATTCATATAGGAAATTACCTGCCAACTAATTAAAATTTTAATATAATTCCCTAATTATAACATAAAGGAGAAATAAAAAGAAAGTAAAATTTTAAAGAAGTATGTATTTTGTTGTGTAAATGTTTGGGCACATATGTACTAGAAGTTATAATGAAGTAGTAGCCAGATGCTTGTGACCTACTTATAATAAACTAGAGGCCTGGTGCACAGGATTCATGCTCTGGTGGGGGGCATGGCCTGCAGGATTCAGCCCATTGTAGGAGCGCTACTCATCCCCGTCAGTCCAGCGGTGCTCCCACTGTGGGAGCGCACTGACCACCAGGGGGCAGCTCCTGTGTTGAATGTCTGCCCCCTGGTGGTGAGTGTGCGTCATAGTGACTGGTCAATGGGTCATCTGGTCGTTCTGCCTTTCAGTTGCTGGGCTTTTATTATATAGGATAAGTTTGCATTTAAGAAAAGTAAGGCAAGCCAGCTGGCATGGCTCAGTGGTTGAGCATCCACCTATGAACCTGTGTGCAGGAGGCAGCTGATCAATGATTCTCTCTTATCATTGATGTTTCTATCTCTCTCTCCCTCTCCCTTCCTCTCTGAAATCAATAAAAATGTTTTAGAAAAGTAAGGCAAGAGTTATATCTGAATAGAGGGATTGACTGCTTTTAACATTTTTGTAATGGCAAATAAGAATATTTATGCATATGGGTAGAATTGTGAATGTGTCACAAATCTCTGCTGAGTTACAGATATGTTGTAGTGATGATTCAAATATCTTGAGTGACATTGCAGTTAGAATAATTTTTTGTAATGGTAAATTTGCTTTTAAACTTTTGGAAGGAATAGAACATTTTTTTTTCTGTTTTTCTCAATAGGTAAATTTGAAAAAGGCATTTTTCATCAGTATTAATTTTTAGATCGGTATTTGAAAATTTGGTGGGATTAGGAGCATATTACTTCATTGTATGGGTCTGCCCTGGCATTGCAGGATGTCTACCATATTGGTCCATTTTCCCCAACAACAGTACCACCTAGTCATAATGTCAGGCAAAAATAACTGACAGGGATAGTATTACTCTGGGACTTAGGATTGTTTCATAGCAAGTAAATAACGTAGATTTTTTTTCTTTGCTTTTGAGTGTTGGTAAAGATAGATTTTTATTAGGTCTTTTTAACCTGCAGCCTTTAGGTGTCCAGGTCTCCCTCCCACCCCTACCTAAGTTCCTTATCTCACCCTTACCCCCCAAAATTCAGTGTAAAATTGTTGTGAATGTTTGTCTCTGTATGTTTTTCTGGGCTACTGCATATAACTTTGAGATTCTCAAAGGGTTCTGTGACCCAAAACAGTGGACCAGATAACTTCTTTCTTCTCGAGATCTCTTAATAGCTATTAAATCTGGTTATTCTGCTGATGGTCATCAGTACTTGCTAATTTTCCAGGAAAATGGCTTAGACTCTGAACTGCCTGGTGGCAGCAACCCATATTGAGAGGCTTGGTTAGAGGAACATAATGGAGCAGAAAATCTCAAATTCATTTATTAGGTGGGTTTATTCTAGATAATTTTACTGACAAGGCTAACATATCCAGTTAAGAATTTTTTTAAATTGGTGGAGTTTTTTTCTTTTGACATACTCATCTTTAGGTAGTTTGCATTTTTATGTGTAGATGGACCACAGTCTATTACTGAAGATTTATAAGTCCTGCTGGCAATGTAAAGTTTAAGTACTATTCCAGAATTCACATGTTGATGAAAATTGACACGTTTATTTTCTAAATTAGTTTAAAAATTTTATTTTACCTTATTTTTGATAATTGATATATTTTTTTAATTGGGGAGAATTAGAAAACTTGAATTTAAAATTTAAAAACTTTTACATAATTTTGTTATAAAATTTTGTGAGATGTTACTTTTGTATTATTAAAGTCCTAGTTGAAATAGCCCTATAAAATTTTATACAGTTTCAATTATCTGCAGTAGTTTTTGGACTTGGAGAATGTTAAGAAATGGAATCTATGTCTTTAAGACTCCTATTTCTATTAGTTTAAAGTGTTTCGATAGCCAACCATTTGGTGGATGAATTCATGTGGCAAAATGGACAGATTGGTGTTTTCTTCTTTAACATGCCAATGTATGATAGAGTTGTTAATCAGCTGCTCATAAAAGATGCAAGCAGTTGGGATTAAAGAAGAACAAAGGGTGTGAAATAATATTCAAATTGAATTATTAACTTGACCATATAATTAAGTAAAGCAAACTGAAAGATTGCATTTCATATATACGGGGGTAGGTTTATAGTTGAGTGTGGGAAACAGAGTTTATGCTTGTATTATTAATTATTGTACTATTTTCTATACAAACAACTGTAAACCTACTTTTGTTGCACCCTGTATATTGTATATATACCATTCCCCCCAAAAGACATGCTATTTTTACATTAAATTTTTTTCTGTAACTGGTTCTCTGCCTTTATATATTTTCTTCTAATGTTCTCTCATTTCTAACTTCTTAATCTCATCCCAGTTCCAATTCTTTGTTAGAAAATAATTTATAACTCAGAAATTTTAAATCCTATATAATAAAAGCCCAGCGACCAAACAGCAGAGCCACCAGAACAACCGGTTGACCAGTCGCTATGATGCGCACTGACCACCAGGGGGCAGGTGCTCAATGCAGGAGCTGCCCCCTGGTGGTAAGTGTGCTCCCACAGCAGGCTGATCCCCGCAGATCACCCCCCCCCCCCCCCCGCACGAATCCTGTGCACCAGGCCTCTAGTATAGGATAAAATGATTTCCCTTCCTAGAACTTGAAATAAGTAAGTTCCTTTTAAAGGCCTTGCATTTGAGATTTATTTCTTTTCCTCTCATTGCATTAGGCAGATCTGCTTGTTTTAAAAGACATGCATATTCTTGTTAATTTAAATAAAAGAAAATCTTTTTAATAGTTGTCTTTGATTTTGATTCCATGCCCATGTTGCAGGCTCCATCCCCAGTAGGAGGTGTGCAGGAGACAGTCCACTGATGTTTCTCTTTCTCCCCCTCTCTCATCCTTTCTCTCTAAAATCAATAAAAACATATCTTTAAAAAATGGTTTAGGATTTATTCAGGCAGAACTAGATCACCTTTTTGGATTCTTTGTTTTGTAATTTTGTGTTGCTTGGGTATAGAACCAAAGCTTAAAAACTTTGTATCTAGGGTATTGGACACAGTGGTCATAATAAATACTTAACAACTATGTGAGTGAGTGAACGAATCAAACTAATTGAGGTGAAGCAAGAGCACTGTTGTCATTGGATGTAGTATTTTCAAATGTAGAGATTTTTGTAGTTGGCTCAGTAAAGAGTATTTGAAGATTGGCACTGGTTTGCAGACCATTGGAAAATCCTGTAATGTGGTACCAGCCTACTATAAGAATATAATTGTGGACTTTATTTTATGAATTAAAACTTTCAGAATACTTTTATTAGAAATAATAAATGCTCATGTAGAAATTTCACCAAATACGGTAAAGAATGAAGAAAAAAGTAAAATTCATTTGTAAGTGTACCACTTAGTGAGAAAGTAGTCATTTGGTATATTTATGTACACAGATTTTAATATATATTCTTTAAATAAAATTGAGGTTATATACATTTAGTTTTGAATTCTGTGTGTATGGGACAGTCCAAATCAATTTTTTTCTCCTGTTTTTGGTTTTTGAACCTTACAGGCCCCTTCACAGATGTAGTCACTACAAATCTTAAGTTGCGAAATCCATCAGATAGAAAAGTATGTTTCAAAGTGAAGACTACAGCACCTCGTCGATACTGTGTGAGGCCCAACAGTGGAATTATTGACCCAGGATCGACTGTGACTGTTTCAGGTAGCACATGATATCCAGAATTTAAACAATTTTGAATTTTATGATTATTTTAAACTTCGTTTTAATTAATAGGGTTTTATCTGGGGGAAGAAGGATTAAAGTTATTCTGGCTTTGCTTTTATTTAAGTGATGTCCTTGTTCTCTTACTATATATATGCAAACGGTTGCAGAAATTTCTCACCCTTATCTGTGATGGGTGTTATGTGGTTATTTTATAAGCAATTGTCAATTTAAATTTTGTATCTTTAGTTTGTATCTTTATTTCTATAGTTCATTACCATATTCTCTGCCCTTATTATTGTATCTTTGAAATACTACTTTGTTTTTGTGATTGATCATTCCTATTCAGATCTCTAGCTATTGGTACATGTTACATGCAACTGTAGAATTATTCTAAATCTTTTGCTTAAAATATATAATGCCTCTTTTTGCTAGTTGTATCAAATTAAATGAGCATTTCTGCTTTTCATTGTCAACAGTGCCCTGCACTTGAAAACTATTCTTATTACTCCCTTTTGTGTTTACTTGTAGTCCAAGGAGTATACCTGTTCCTTCCATATATGAATTGCTTTTCCTTGCCATGGAGTCTGTGTTGATGCCCTAATTAATGCCCTCTATGAAATGTTCCTTTCTTTCCTCAGACTTTCCAAGACAGTACTTTCTAACATAGCTGAGAAATAGGAAGCAACTATGAGAACCTCTCAGGCCTCACAAGAGACCATTTACTCTTATTTTTAGCAGTGGTTCTCAATGTTTACTGTGTACCATAACACAGAGAGCAGGAACACACATGGACTCTTCCAGATCAGAATCTCTGGGGACATGGCCTAGACATGTACCTTAAAAATACATACACATGCCTGGGTGTTCCTGATAAGTATTCCTAAGACATAATAATTCCTTATGTTTTCTGGTTTTCAAGTCCCCAATAGCAAATTATATAAAGAGCGAGAGCCTGGAGCACACCCATTGAAAGTATTTAGAAGTAGAACCTGACTGCAAAGGCAGTAGAGGACAAACCATAGTCAGACTTCTTGAGAACCCTAAATCCTCCCTCAGTAGCTAGAGTCAAAACCTAGAGCAAGGAAGATCTAGAAAACATGTTTTTTAGTGAGTTTTGTGGTATTGTGGCCTGGGAGGAATGCTTTCATATTTGTTCAGGTCATCAGTTCCTGGGGGAAATGGAAGGGAAATAAGATAAAGCAATGACATGCATTCTGGAAGTTGCTGCCTAAATCTTCAAGCCTTTAGTTAAATTGGAAGAAAACAGAATTATTTCTATTTGTATTAAAAATAGTTTTGGGTGCAAACAGTTATATATCTATCCCTAGGAGTCCATAAAACTTCAGAATGACTTTATTTTTTAATTAAATCTTTATTGTTCAGATTATTACAGTTGTTCCTCTCTTTCCCCCCCCCATAGCTCCCCTCCACCGGGTTCCCACCCCACCCTCTGCCCCCCCCCCCACTGTCCTCAACCAAAGGGCACGAATTTTGTCCAGTCTCTTTCGGAATTCACCACACCCCTTTCCCCCCAAGAGGAGGAGACCACCCCCCTTCTACTATCCTTACTCCTGTATCAACACCTGATTAGTCTGCTCAACCAAAAATTTACTCACCTAAATACTAGAGTCTACTCTTGTCAGAAGTGTATTAGTCAGACGGAAGTTGCATCTCTACCTAATATCTAATGACACATCTACTTGACTGCAGCATTTCAGTTGCTACGTAAGCGACTGACTTGATGCGGAGAAGTGCGTATAGAGATATCTAG